AAATCAGCTCATAGTCTGATCGGAACTCCTTTGTAGGTAACTCTCTGCTTTTCTCTTGTTGCTTTTAAGATTTTCTCCTTATCATTAATCTTGGGTAATGTAATTATGATGTATCTTGGTATATTCCTCCTTAGGTCCAACCTTTCTGGGATTCTCTGAGCTTCCTGGCCATGTATGTCTATTTCCTTCAGAATGGGGAAGTTTTCTTTCATTATTTGTTCAAATAAGTTTTCAATTTCTTGCTCTTTCTTCTCCTTCTGGCACCCCTATAATTTATATATTGGAACATTTAAAGTTGCCCCAGAGGTTCCTAAACCTCTCCTCATTTTTTTTTTTGAATTCTTGTTTCTTTATTCTGTTCCGGTTGAATGTTTATTTTTTCCTTTTATTTTAAATTGTTGATTTGAGTCCCAGTTTCCTTTCCTTCCCTGCCCTTCATAGTTGGTTCCTTATATATTTTGCTTTATTTCACTTTGCGTAGCCTTCACTTCTTCCTTTGTTTTGTGGCTATACTCAATCATTTCTGTGAGCATCCTGATTACCAGTGTTATTGTACTCTGCATCTGATAGATTGGCTATCTCCTCATTACTTAGTTCTTTTTCTGGAGTTTTGATGTGTTGTTTCATTTGAACCACATTTCTTTGTCTCCGTGCACCTGTTATATTATAAGGGGTGGAGCCTTAGGTATTCTTCAGGGTGGGCAACCCTCTTTTCTACATTTTGGCTCTGCGTGTGGGGGAGGGGTCAGAGAGTAAACAGTGCTGCTTGTTTGCCTTTCAACCCACTTTCAAGAGACTGGAAGTTTCTCCCACCACCACAACCCCCACAGATTTTTTACGGCCAGAATTTCTGAGGCTTATTTTGCCCATGCTGGAACCCTGGGTTGCACAGTCTGTCTTGCTCCCCAGTTGTTCCTCCTGGTTTATTGGCACACAGATGTGGGACCACCTGGTCCACAAGCCACCTCCTTGCTGCACGTCCTCTCGACCCAGCTGCCTGTCTCTGGCACTCTTATCACTTGGGTGAATGTTTCCATCTTTAACTCCTTCATTGTCAGACTTCCATGCAGTTCAGTTTTCTGGCAGTTCTGGTTGTTTTTCGTTTTCAAATTGGTTGTTTCCTTATTTTGGTATCTATCTATGCCTCCATCTTGGGTAGTACTCCATTTCTTTTTATTGACTTTTAAATTTTTATTTTGTAGTAGTTATACATATGGTATAGTATATTTAACAGGTATACCTTGTCAGGTATAACAACATACAAGAACACTCCCAATATTATTTCAGTGTTATTGGTTTATAGAGGGGTTGTTTTTCATTTTTTAACAATCTGATTACTAACCCCTTCCTGGTTAGTAATAGATGCATGCACCTGCTAGTGGCATCATGGATGAGACATGAGACAAATTCATATGGACTACTGAGTCCTTTGGAGGAAAAGTGACCGCCCGACTACTCCCTCAAAGTGGCTTGGCCACCCTCTCAAGGAGAGAGCACCCTGACCCTTGCCAAAACAGGCTTTTATTGGGTTTAATTTGTGCAGGAATACAGGTACAGCTTATTAATCATTGTCAGGCAGTAAGGATCAAACGATAAATAGCATACAAAGAACTATTAAGGGCTTCTTCTAAGTCAGGGTCTATCAGCTAAAAGGCTACAAAACTTTGGGAAACAAACTCATTTCCTGCTCAGATCTTTATCATTTAACTAAGAGCATTCTTAGCAAAGCAGGCTTCACAGGATTTTACGTATTCTTTCTCAGGCCTGATCACCTGGGGATTTCCAGCACAGGGCTGCACCGCCCACTGTCATTGTTTTAGGCTTAAGTTAGGCAGAGGAGGCAGATAGCTAAGGAATTTTTGGAGACTTCTGTCAGACTCAGGGGAGTCAGGCTTAGTCAAAGCTGAGGGGCAAGGGTCCATCCCCGCCTTTCTCCATAGCCACCCAAGTCCTTCCCTGGGGCCTCCGTGTGATCATGCCTGTCTTAGATTGTTCCTTCCTTGAGGAATCTTACCTGTCATTGGCTAAATGATTAAGCTTTGGGGGTCAGGTATGAAAAAAGGAGCAGAAGCTCTGCTCCTGCAAGGGAGATAAACTTTGTCTCCTTAGTGGCTTATGGTCCAAAGGTAGCTCACTCAGCCTTAGCCATGGGGGGTTTACAGCTCCTGAAACCAGGCAGGGCAGTTCCCACAAGTAATTGTGTTAGTAGTTAATGTTGTATAGCTTGTAGCTTGTCTTTGGCTCTCTTTATGGACAGAACTGTTTAAAGTAAGGAAATCTTACAATGTTTTATTTTCCTATTAGCTTAGTGAGTTTTAATTGTTTTTACATTTATCAAACTGTCAATTACTTTGCTCACCTTTCCTTTTTTCATCTCAAACATGCCTTCTAAGATCTTCTCTCTCTTTCCTGAAGTTATTCTTTAGACATTCTTTAAGGGTAGGTCTAGTAATAGTACACTCAGTTATTACCCAAGAATGTGTTTTATGTCACCCTCGCTCTTGAAAGATTGTTTAGCTAAGAGTACAAATATCAATGAAAAATATTTTCTCAAGTATTACACCACCTTCTGCTTTCCTTAGTTGTGGTTGAGAAGTTTTGTCAGTCTAATTTTCCTTCCTCCCAAGTATGCCTTATATCTGCCTGTTGTTCAGATTTTGTTTTTCTTTGATGTTGTTGATTTACCATTCCGTTTCTAAGCATGCCTTCTTTTTATTTTTCTTATTTGGATTACATTTTATTTTTGCTTGTGGATTCTTATCTTTTATCACTTCTGAAAAACATTCTTGCTTGTTCCTTTCAAATATTTTATGTCTGCCATTCTTCTTTCCTACTTTTCTGTAACTGATCGGGCTTATCTTTCCATCTTCCTTATCTCTGGTTCATCTTATCTCTTGGTGTGGTGTTCTGCATAATTTTTAAAGCTTTCTCTTCCAGTTTTCCAGTTTTTTCATTAGCTTTGTAAAGATTCTATTTTGGGATCTTCAATTAGGAGTAAATGCTTATTCTTACTTTGGAAACGAACAGAAAACCAATAAACATTGTTGAGATTGCTTTCCTTCACCAAAATGTGCATTCACCGCTCTTGGGAACCACAGGGTCAGACCAGGTCAGGGCCATTTTCATCTCAGCTTAACCCAGGGACCTCAGGTTCAGCTCTGCTCTCCCAGCCACAGTGATAGTCACTTCCCCCCAAAAGCAGCCCTGTCTTTCAGTAGTCTTACCACTCTTTGTTCTACTTTCAGGATTTGCTTTCTTTTATACACACACACGTATATACTCATAATCTAGTCCACTAACTACTGCAACTCTAATAATGCAACAAAAACTATGCATTTTAAAGATCTAGTTGTTCCACTGCAAGAGGACCTTTCAGAGGGTATGGTCTACTAATATAGCCCAAAGTAGAAATATCTATGGGGAAATTTTTTTAATTTATTTTTTAAAATCCCTCCACTCTCCTTTCCCTCTGGTAATCACAATAGTGTTGTCAGTGTCTATGAAGACTTTTTTTCACTTAATCCCTTTACCTTTTTCACCCAGCCCCTCAACTTTCCTCCGCACTTCTGACAGCTGTCAGTCTGTTCTCTGTATCGATGAGTCTGTTTCTATTTTGTTTGTTAGTGTTTTTTTATTCATTATATTCCACACATGAGTGAAATCATCTGGTACTTGTCTTTCTCTGACTGGCTTATTTCATGTAGCATAATGTTCTCCAGGTCCATCCGTGCCATCACAAAGGGTAAGATTTCCTTCCTTTTTACAGCCGAGTGGTACTGCGTCTGCAGGGAATTTCTGACTGGCCATCTTCACACCATCTTGCTAACACCCCTCTCTATTCCCCTCTCTTCAACTTTCCTTTTTCTTCTTCCTAAACCTTCTCCTACCTCTTAACTTTCAGGCTTCTCTCTACACCCCTTTCTGAAGTCTTTTCACTTTTGCACACAGAATTTCAGCTCTCCTCAGCCTCTATATTCAATTCTGGGCATACCTCTGTAGAGTTAAACCAATCGCAGAAGAAAGGCAGGCAGTATAACAGGATCTTCCTTCCTTAGAAGGCAGTTATAGTTGTAAGTAGCAGTTTTTTCTCCATTTCATTATTTACATTTACTAAGTATATATTAGGTGTCTGCCTGGTGCTTGGCACTGTCTGGAAAGCTAAGCTGTTGTTCAGTGCGAATTCATGTTATTATGGCATGGTATATTTAAGGCACACCTTGTATTATAAGCACTGTATTAAAAGCTCTACATGAGCAACTTTTAATATGCTCAGGAGGATTAGAATCTTTATCTCACTGCATTTAAAGCATGGAAAAGATTAGGCTAAGTAATAGAATGTGTTTATTTATTTTAAAGGTGTTTTTTAGCTTATTATTTCCTTTTGTAATAGTGAATCCTCTATGGTATAATTTGAAGTTAGTAGTTAGCCTTTTATACCCATATTTCTTCAGTAGAAGAAATTAAAATAATTTGTGTTCATTTCTCAATGTACATAAATGCAATTCAGAAATAAAAAACCTTCTATTGTAAATGTCTCTCTTACTCAAGTGACCCTAATTAGAGGAATGTCTTTTTTTAATCATATACCTTTAACAAAATGCATTAAAGGCAGATCTAATTTCTTGCACTTTGTAAGAATTCTTTGTGTGCCTATTTTGTTCTGGTCCAGGCCCTGAGGGTACAGTGGGGCACAAAACATAGCCCAGTCCCTTACACTGAGGCTTACATCCCAGTGGAGAAACAGACACTCAGCCACTGACATAGAAAACACTGCAAAGTAGTGAGACATGCTCAGCGGAAGAGCTGGGGGGAGGGTGGTCAGGAAGGCAAGGCCTCACTGCCCTGGATGAAGTGAGGAGTGAGCCCTACAGAAACCTGGCGAAGCATTCCAGGCAGGCAGAATAGCAAGTAATGGCTTTGAGCTGGACTGTGCTTAGAATATTTAAAGATAAACTTTAGTATGACACTAAACCTATTCTTTTCACACTTCTATTTTTCAGGTATCCGAGATGTTTCTAAGTGGAGTGAGAAAACAAAAAAGCCTCTAGAAACCCTATATGGGTATGAGTACTTTGCAAAAACCTGTGAAAAGTGGGTGGATGGCATAAAACAGTTTAAACATCTTCCAGATGGTAGGTTACATGAACTATTTAATGGTTCCTTTGCTGACTATAAAGGTTGCTTGAATTCCTCCCCTGATATTCCAGAATTTCTCAGGGTTTAATGCATTTGCCTGCTATCCTTACACCCTGATGTATCAACAGAGAATACTAGTGACTATATAGAATACAAGTTCTTATGTATTAAATCCACCTTTAACTAGAGACAGATTGTATATAGTGTAAAGGTTTATAATGTTGATTGTTCTTTTTTTCTTCTACTCCTTTGTGTGTGATGACAAAATAATTCTCCAGAAGCCTCAAATAGTCTTTATTTTCTAATTTCAGAATAAGTAATTAGAAAACAGACAAGCTGCAATACTATTATTTATATGTATATATGTGTGTGTGTGTGTGTGTGTATATATATATGTTTTGCACATTTAGACAAGTTACTGTAGGACAAAGAAGGAAGGACTTTGTCATGACCTTTAGCCCCGGCGGCATTAGTATGAGGAAGAGAGCATTCACTTCTTTTCTCATCTTCAGAACTAAGTTACATGACTTTAGCCCTGATCAATATCTCCCTGTGTTTATCTGAAAAATTGACATGATGTCCAATTGCAGTAAAAATTATTATCTTTAATAAAAAATCTAAAAGTATTTTATATACTTACATTTTTAATGTCTCATTTTTCTTTTTTTAATTGCTGAAAGGATAGAAAGTACCTAAAATATAACCTTGAAGCACATTCAGTTATAAAATTGTGATTGAAGGATCAATTTGATGTCTTAAGTAATAATTTCCAGAATGAGTCATCTGTCAAAACCTTCACAGTGAACAGGACATTTGGAAAAGTTACTTCCGTGGCTTAAGCTCAAAAGAACAAATATATCCTGTTCAAACGCAGTACCCACTCATAGAAATAGGTCCCTGAAGTCTGTTTACTTTGGTTTTAAAGCAAGCAAAAAAATTGCTGCAAAACAATATCTGAGACAGTTCTGCATTAAAGAAGGCAACTTTGTGAAATGTAAACTTCTATGTTTTTTTGAAGAGAGTAAGGAAAAATGTCAGATTGCCAATAGGTAGAAGAAGAATTAAATGAGTTAAAAAATATGTCCTGTATTTGTTAAAATTAAAAACTTGTGCTCCGCAACAGACACCACCAGAAGAATGAAAAGACACGCCATAGACTGGGAGAAAATATTTATAAAAGACCCATCTGATAAAGGGCTATTATCCAGGATATACAAAGAACTGTTAAAACTGAACAATAAGAAAACAACCCAATTAAAAGATGGACCAAACATAAATGAGATCCCACTCTTCACCTGTGAGAACAGCCACACAGGAATTTCAGGACAGTGAAAATGCTGTGATACTATACTAGATACATGTCATTATACACCTGTCGAAGCGCACAGGATGCACAACACCAAGGGTGATCCCTGAGGGAAATGATGGACTTTGGGTGACGATAGTACCTAGTCAGTGGAGGTTCACTCACTGTGAAAATGCTCCACTTGGGGGTGTTTTTAGTGGGCGAGGCCATGTGTGGGGGCAGTCTCTGTACCTTCCACTCAGTTTTGCTATAAACCTAAAACTCTATAAGAGAAACAGAGTGAAAAAAATGTCGTAATACAAAGGATCTAGCAGCATGTCAGTCATCTTACAGCGAGATTGTTAATGAACTACTTATCTCCTTCTGTACTAGTTAATTTGGGAGGAGCCCTTTTTCCTCGTTGCACACTCAAGTTTAAGGATACTCAGACCTAGCACAGATTTGGAGTTAGACAGGCCTGGTGTGCATTCTGGTTTTGCCACTTGGCTTGCTGTTAGAATGGATTGAGGCAAATCACTTAGCTTCTCTAAGCTGTGACTTCCTGTGTGAGAACTAGGGACACTAATAACTACCTCATAAAGTTGTTCTGAGGACAAAATGAGTTGTTTATGTTTAGCTTTGGTACAGTACCAAGTACAGAGTAAGTGCTTAATACTCTGTAAAAGTACTGGATTTACAAATAATTATACATACTAAATGAGTTAAAACATGCACATAACTACCATAAGTGTTTTATGGTTATTAAATAATTTGAACACTTGCCTGACATATAGTGAGCGCTCAGTGATGCCAGCTTTAATTATCTGAATATACAGTTGGCAGATGCATGTCATCTCAGGGACAGGAAGGGGTCATCTTCAGAGATCTAGAGGAGTATTACCCTGGTCTACCTGTCACCCTTCTCATTGAAACCCCCAACTGAATAGGAGGAGACAGTGTCCCCTGGGCTGGCTCCTAGCTTTCTCAGAGATGCCATGCTTTCTTTTTGACACAGTCAAGGGAAGGCAGGAGGAAGAAGGAGCTGGCTCTGTAGAGTCCTGCTGGGTGTCAGCTAGTACTATGGCATCTCTTTTTAGCCCCTTGGCCACCCAGGGGACTATGGTTTATTCCTGTTCCACCAGAGGAGAAGGCCGAAACTCAAGTGGCTAAGGAACCACTAGAAATTCACAGGTGGGAAGTGGTGGGGGACAGGAACTTAGAAATGTTGCTGTGTGACACAGTGAATCTTCTAATCTGTCAACCATAATATGAGGAATGTGAGAGAGGCAGGAGGGATGAGGAAGAGCTGTAAAATGTAACTTCATTGTGAGGTATATGAGCTTTGAGGGCTAGCTGGGACCCCAAAGACCAGTTAAGACATTATTTTCCAGAAGGAGCTTATCAGATGGCCAAGCACCTATGGTGGTTTTGCAAACTGGAAACTGCCTCTATGTCATATAAAGAGCTGTGGGTTTTTTGTTTGTTTTTCTTACTGTTTTACCTGAATTTTTAATTAATTAATTTTTTACAGTTAAAATACTGTATTTTATTTTAGTTTTTAATATATTTTATTGATTATGCTATTACACTTGTCCCATTTTCCCCCTTCACTCCCCTCCACCCTGTGCATCACCTCCCACCCACATTCCCCACCTTTAGTTCATATCAATGGGTCATGCATATAAGTTCTTTGGCTTCTGCATTTCCCATACTATTCTTACCCTCCCCCTGTCTATTTTCTGCCTACCGTCTATTCTACTTATTCTCTGTACCTTTTCCCCCTTCTCTCCCCCTCCCACTCCCCCATTGATAACCCTCCATGTGATCTCCATTTCTGTGGTTCTGAACCTGTTCTAGTTGTTTGCTTAGTTTGCTTTTGTTTTTGTTTTAGGTGTGGTTGTTAATAATTGTGAGTTTGCTGTCATTTTATTGTACATATTTTTTATCTTTTTTTTTCTTAGGTAAATTCCTTTCATATATCATATAATAGGGGCTTGGTGATGATGAACTGCTTTAACTTGACCTTATCTGAGAAGCACTTTATCTGCCTTTCCATTCTAAATGAAAGCTTTGCTGGACAGAGTAACCTGGGATGTAGGTCCGTGCCTCTCATGACTTGGAATACTTCTTTCCAGTCCCTTCTTGCCTGTAAGGTCTCTTTTGAGAAATCAGCTGACAGTCTGATGAGAACTCCTTTGTAGGTAACTGCCTCCTTTTCTCTCACTGCTTCTAGGATTCTTTCCTTATCTTTAATCTTGGCCAATGTAATTATGATGTCCCTTGGTATGTTCCTTCTTGGGTTCAACTTGTTTGGGACTCTCTGAGTTTCCTGGACTTCCTGGAAGTCTATTTCCTTTGCCAGATTGGGGAAGTTCTCCTTCATTATTTTTTGCTCTTCCATTTCTCCTTCTGGTACCCCTATAATTCAAGATGTTGGAACATTTAAAGACTCTCCTCATTTGTTTGAATTCTTGTTACTTCATTCTTTTCTGATTGGATGTTTCTTTCTTCCTTCTGGTCCACTCCATTGATTTGAGTCCCAGTTTCCTTCCCATCACTATTGGTTCCCTGTACATTTTCTTTTATTTCACTTAGCATAGCCTTCATTTTTTCATCTAATTTGCGACCAAATCAACCAATTCTTTGAACATCCTGATTACCAGTATTTTGAACTGTGTGTCTGATAGGTTGGCTATCTCTTCATCGTTCAGTTGTGTTTTTTCTGGAGCTTTGATCTGTTTTTTCATTTGGGCCATTTTTTTGTCTTGACGTGCTTGTTATGTAGTGAGGGCTGGAGGCTTAGGTGTTCACCCAGGCAGGGTAATCCCCATGGCTGAGTTGTGACACTATATGTGGGGAAGGGGTCCAAGAGGGAACAATGGCACTTGCTGTGCTCTCTGCCAGATTTCAGTCACTTCCCCCACTTCCCATAAGCAAATTGGGCTTTTCTGGTGCTGATTCCCAGGTGGGTGGGTTTTTATATGTTCTAGGACCCTGTGGGTCTCTCCAGTGCACTCTCCTGTGAGGCTGGCAGTTCCTCCCACTGCTGCCTCAACCCCCACAGGTATTTTCAATCAGTGGTTTGAGGCATTATTTCCCCGAGCAGGGACCCTGGGTTGTGTGGTCCATCCCACTCCCCAGTTTCGCCTAGTTTATCTACACACGAATGTGGGACCGCCCAGTCTGCCAGCTGCTGCCTTGCTGACCAGCTACACCCTCACGTGCCCTGTTCCACAATCTGCTGCCTCCCTGGTCCTCCAGCCACCGCTTTGCCGCGAGTCCTCTCCACCATGGCTGCCTATCTCTTCCCTTCCTACCGGTCTAGATGAATGTGTCTTCTTTAATTCCTTGGTTGTTGGACTTCTATACAGTTCAATTATCTGTCAGTTCTGGTTGTAAATTGTTGTTGTCCTTCTTTTGGTGGTACAGGAGGTACGGTGTGTCTACCTACACCTCCATCTTGGCCGGAAGTCCGAATTTTTAATTTAAATCAGGCAAAACTGCTTGTTCACTAATAAAGTTTTAAAATAAAATTTTAAAAAACAGCAGAGAAACAGAAAGGGAAACCCGAAGAAGGGTAGAGCTGGTGCGCCCCTCACACCCCACCTGATTTAACACACTGGGTCACTGAGATCCAGAGAGGTGTGACTTGCCCCAGCTCTTGGCGTGTCCTTACCTTGTGAAATGGTCACCTTAAAACCCACTTTCTGTTCATTTGTTTTTCAGGTAATATCTGCCGGCACTTGCTGCCGCTGATTCAGTGCCCCACCTTAATTGTGCATGGCGAAAAGGATCCTCTAGTCCCACGTTTTCATGCTGACTTCATACACAAACACGTGAGCGGGTCACGGTGAGTCCAGTCTCCGCTCTGCCATTCTGTGCCTCTAAGGCTTTTGAAGAAAATGGGAGAAGCTGTAACAACGAAAAGAATGGTGACAGTTGGGATCTTTTAAAGTGGACCCTGACCCCCATTTTGCCAAAATGGCAATAAGCAGACCACTGTGTACAGGGTTCTAGAGACACAGGGCACAAAAAGAATCCTGATTTGTGGGGAACCAGTAATTTCAAGGAAGGGGATTCTCAGGTAAATATCTCTTGTTGTTGCTGTGAACTGTGCTAATACAGACTAAGTTCTGTGACACTGGCAACACGTTAGATCACAGGAATCATTGTTAACTAACACAGTTTTGTATAATTTGAGAATTGTAACACTATTAGTACAAAAGCACTCCCTTTCCAATAAGGAAAATCTGTAAAACCAAAAGAAGGAAATAATAGCCTTTTGCTTGCCAATCATTTAAATTCTTTTATTACTATCATTTTTGTGTTGCTCTTTTCTTAACATAGAAATAATCACATTCTATATTCAACTCTGATGTTGCTTTTTTCCACTAAAAGTTATGTTCTGATTTTTTTTGTGTTATTTTAGCCTTAAATTTGTACATATCAGATGATTAAATTATTATTCAGGATTATAAAATACCAACATATACCAAGCCATGTTGGTGGCTCATTTGATTAAAAAGTAGATACATGTTGCTTATTCTTCGCATTTTTGTTTCTGCCAGCCAGCTTTGGGCATCACTGAAACTTATGTGTTAGCAAAATTTATATTTTTCATTTTCATACATTTTTGTATGGAGAACAGAAATTTATATTTTAAATATTTTGGCTGACACAGGAGCAAGCTTTTGCCAGTTCAAATATATAACCAGCTGTAACAAGATGATAATTCAAAGTTGAATAAATTCAGCATCTCCTTCACATGCAAGGGATGCATATCCTGAAGGAGAAAATGAGGTGTGACTAGAAGACAGGGACCTCATTTTTTAAGTTATACTGGGAAATAAAGACCCAGGTGAGCCTTGACCCCTTCAAAAACTATGTATTAATTTCAGAGATACTGTCATTACTCAGGACATCTTTGCTATGGAATTCTTCTGAAATTGACCTTTATTAGCAGCCTAAGAAAACCCTCCATCACTCACGCACTCTCCTCTCTCTCTCACGCCTGTTCCTTCCCCTCTCTCAGTCCCTCTCCCTCTTCCCCTCTCCTTTCCTTCCATGAGCCAATTTCCAGTGCCTGCTGTGGGCCAGCACCTTTCCCAGGGAAAGCAGATGCAGAAGCAGTCCACTGCTTCCTAATCATACTGTTCCATGCTGTGTTTCTCAGAGAATGTTTAAGAATGGGGAGCGTGCTTCTTATTCTATAGTAAGATATAAGTATCATAAATCTATATAATTTCTATACTTATATAGCATTTTATATTTTAAAAGGCATTTTACATACAAAATCGAATTACACTTTACAACTATCAAAAACAAATATTTCTTATGAAAAAGAAATATTGTCGCCATTTTATAGATGAGAAAATAAAGGCTGAGATGCTAAATAATTGCCCAGGGTTGCATAGCCTGTTAGAGACAAATCCTAGGTTTTTTTTCTCCTGTTTTAGTGCTTTTCCTCTACAGTACAGCTGTCTCTCATAAACATATCCTTATTTTAATATGTGGTCTGCATTATATACTTGCTGATGTGGTTAACTGTTTTCTAGCATCAGAAATAACATGTATTCGTATACTGACTCTCGCAGTGAGGACACGTGTTCCCTTGGAGAACCAGGTTCAATGAATGTCAGTCTGCAAGAAAGTTTAATGTAAGAATTCTGTTACATACCCATCTCCTAACAACAGAATACATCAACATGGTAGAAAAATATTCCCTCACTGTTTGGATGTTACTGTTTCAGTGGGCTATTTTATGGAAGCAATATTCTTTGGAATATTGGAAGAAATTAGTTGAAGGTAAAGTGTTATGAGCAGTGATTGTCTAAAACTGGTTTGCATTTTACACCTACTACCTTCCTCTCCTACAGCAGCCCTTTATGTTGGACATGAATTTGTCTAAAACAGGTGTGGTTTATTGTGAACCCAACAAAAGGAAGTTGGATTCCTTAAGCACCAAAGTCATACTGTGATTCTGTACACCATGCCCTTTGTCAACATGGTGCAGCAGTTCACGGTGTAGCAAGCTCCAGTGAACTCAGTGTTTTACTACCTTGCCAGCTACATTATCACTAACGTTTAAGCCACAGTCTGTCCCTGAAAGATTTTACCAACAAATAGATAGCATATATGAAGCCGGTGCCTTTCTGTCCTCAGAAGGAGGCTAATGAAGGGCGGGGTTGTTCGCAGGCCTGCTTCCTGCTCATGTTAATTTGTCTCTCTCTCGTTTCACTCTGTGGGAGAAGAATGATGGAATCTCTTGGAAGCAAAGAAGGATTAGGGGTCATTCAAGGTTACTGTTTTAAAATTTATTTTTATACAATTGAACCCTTCCTCCTAACAAACTCTCACAAAGAGCTGTCCTTATTACAACAGTGATGGGGAGCAGACCTTGCCCCTTAGATTCTCCTTGTCCTGCCCCAGCCCCCGTGTATCCCCTGCTTGTCCAGCCCTCCTTCTGAGATGGAAAAGCACTGACATCACTCACCACCTGTCTAGCTAGTCAGCCTCTGCTTGGGTGTCTCCTTTCACCAGACATGCGTCACCCATGAGGCCAGCCCCAGCTTGTTTTCAGGGAATCTGCATTGAGCAGAGCTTGGCACCTGTCCGATTCTTTGGAGGTGGGGTGGATGGGCTCCGGGAAGCAGTGGGACTCAGATATCTCAGAGGAGTTTATGACTACAGAGCTTGTTGAACCACTGTCTGCTCATTATGTGTATTAGTCTGCAAGGGCTGCTGCAATGAATACCAGAGACTGGGAGGCTTCAATAATATGTTTATTTTCTCACAGTTCTGAAGGCTAGAAGTCTGAGATCAAGGTGTTTGTAGGGTTGATTTCCTCCGAGGCCCCTCTCCTTGGCTCGCAGACGGCTGCCCTCTCCCTGTGCCCTCGCATGGTTTCCCATCTCTGTGTCCTAATCTCCTCTTCTTATTGGGACACTAGTCATATGAGGGTGGGCCCTAATGTCCTCATTTTAACCTAATTATCTCTTTTTTTAAATCCTCACCCAAGGCCTTTTTAATTGCTTTTTTAGAGAGAGGAAAGAAGCAAGGAAGAAAGAAAGTAATATCCACCCAGAGAGAAGCATTAATTGGTTGCCTCCCATATGTGCCCTGATGGGGGATCAAACCCACAACCTAGGCATGTGCCCTGACCAGGAATCAAATTTATAACCTCCTGGGTATGGGACGATGCTCCAGCCGACTGAGCCACACCAGCCAGGGCAACTTAATTACCTCTCTAAAGAACTATATCCAAATAGGGTCACACTCTGAAGTACTGTGGGGTTAGGACTTCAACATACAAATTTTGGGAGGATGCAGTTCATCCCATTATAGTATGTTTCTGAGGGGATGCTTAGATGTCAGGACTTACAGGCCCAGCGGAGGTCAGGGTCTGGACCTAAGACCCAGCTGCAGATGACCAGCACCCTACCTGGAATCCTCTGCCCTTCACCTGCTTTGGTTGCCTGGCCAAGTGTACTCATCCTTCAGGTTGCAACTCAAATGTCTTCTCCTCCCCTACTTTCTCCTCCTTCTCCAATTACTCATCTATCTGAAGCCACACAGCTCCTTATTTATACCTTTTTACAGCTGTCAGCATGTGAATTTAGTGTTCCTCCTGTTGAGTATATCAGTACCTTTCCCAGGATGTAGTGTCGTACCTGCCGAAAGAAAGAGAATGTGAGAGCAAAAGAGGCACATGGGACCAAGCCTCTGTGGATGGCCAGGGGTCACTGCCTGGTGACTCCAGGCCAAAAAATATGGTCTAACTTCATGTTCTAGGGTTGGGGCCAGAGAGCCAGACCAGATGGGAAAAAACGAGGGGTAACATCCATGTGCACAGAGTGGCACCTCGGGCCAGTGTCACCCAAAGCAGAGGTGGGAAGTGAGTCTTGCCTGGGCAGCAGAATTGGTATTTTGGGATCCTGAGCAACATTCACAGCAGCAGTGGAGAAGAGCAGCAGCAGCAGCGTTCAGGCGGGTTTGGGTGCTGGTCAGTCACTCATTTAGACAGTGAGCGTATATTTCCATGCCCCTGTTTCCTTGTCTGTAAAATGTGGGTGATAGTATCTACCATTCAAAATATTTTTAAGGGATGAGTGCATATTTGTACATTGAACACGTAAAACTCAGCACAAAGTAGCTGCCAGGTCTGTGGATAGAATGCTGGCGTGAGTGCAGGTGATCAGGGGCCCCAGGAGGCAGCCAGGATATAGCTTGGTAGGTCAGAGGCCAGTTGCCCTGCGTCCCAATATTCGGCATTAGTATAGGAGTACGGGTGTATCAGTCAGGGCTCTCCAGAGAAACAAGCAGTAGGGGACACACACACACAGAGGTTTATTTTCTGTAAGGAGTAAGGAATTTCTCACGCAGTTATGAAGGTTGAAAAGTACAAGATCTTCAGTTGGCAAGCTGGAGCCGAGTCAGGAAGGTGGAGACCCAGGACACACGAGGCGTAGCTCCAGTCTAATTCTAAATGTCCAGGAACCAGAAAGAGCCGATGTTTCATTTTGAGTCTTAAGGCACGAAAAAGCCCATGTCCCTGTTTGGAGGCAGTCAGGCAGGAGCCTGCTTTGGTTTTCAATTAAAACAAAAATGCTCACAGACGACTTACTGGAAACTGTGGGTTCATAACTAATTTAGAGTATTATCACATCCCAAGTGGAGAAAGAGGCCGCAGCACATAATTTACGGCCTTGTTCATATATGTAGCCTTCAGAGCTTAATTTGAAAACTGAAAGCGTCAGTTGAGGAAGGGATGCTAACATTGTTTCTCCTTTGCTACCTGGGGTGTAAAGAGTGAGATCCTAGAAGGACTGTATCAAGAAGTAAACTGACCACTGGGTTTATACTGTGAGGTTAGACATTTTAATCTCTCAGAAGATCTAAAATCACATCTTTTTCTAAAAGTGCCAGATGCAACAAGGAACTTGCACTGGCAAATAGGAACTTCTGTTTACCATCTTGATGCCCCTTAATTTCCAGTTGAACCATGTGTTGGGTGGTGGGGGATTGCCTACCAATTCTCCTGGGAAATGTGGTTCTTTGCCAATCATTCTCCATGGATTACATGATTAGATCGCTTTGTTATCCGGGTGAGAATCTTGGTCAGCAGTAGAGTTGGTATGTTGCCTTCACAGCTTGTATACTTACTCCTGTCTAATGTGGTTACTTTCCCAAAGAGGAACACATAGGCTTTAAGTATAGTGACTCTTGTGTGAGACCTAAAGGAGGGTGTATTAAGGAACTTGAAATGACCCCCAAAAAGTACCAAGGAGAAGAGCAACTTTCTTAATACTCACCTGTCTGTTCATCCACCCATAATTCAGTGTAGGTCCGAATGGAGATGACTCAGAACAGATCTCCCATATTTTTTATGAAAGGGACCTAGTTTTTATTTCCCTAAGACCAAGAGATTACTATAGGAAGAATGCAGATAGCACTGAGGCTAAAAAGAAGGGATTCACTGCTGGTGTTCTTTTTCCTTATTAGGGACTTGAGTGAATCATAGCAATGAGGTAGGACACGTGATAAGCAGCATGGCTATCCAGGAAGAAGGACTTGCAAGTTGGGCAGATTGGGGTCTCTGCTTAGGAGTCCAGCTTAGCACACATTAGAAGATGCAGTTTGGCCTAGACGTGCCCTTCTGTGACCTTTCAGCATCCTTGGCAGTTGTTGGTTCTGCCTCCTGAAAACAGAGGCCTTGAGCATCCCTGAAAGCCCTCTAAGGCAACTGGAATCCTATCTTTGGGGTTGATGCAGCTTGCCATTGTTTTCTGAACAGCATTAAAACTGAATTTGGAACATTCTGGTTACTATAAATGGCATTAACTTTCCTGAGAGCCTGAGAAAGATGCCCACAATATAGCCCACCCTCCCTTCGAGTAAATGATCTTGATTATCTGGGTACCTCCACCCCACCCCCATGTGGTTGGGCTGCAAGAACAGCTCTGTTCCCAGGGCCCTGTCCCAGGTTCTCCCCAGCACTGAGATCTCTCAGACCCCAGGTGCTGAAAAACCAGAGAATTAGGCAATGCTGTAATTGGCACTTTGTCCCAGTGTAGTCCTTGTAATGTCTGATTGTCATTGTGGACAAGACAGCTCAAGCTTGCACTTATATCCTAGATGCTTTAACTGAAAACTTTTATTTCTGTACTTTTATAACCAATAAATAAAATATACAACTCAGAGAAGGCTGCCTTTATTAAAGAAATTGCCAACCAGCCACATTTGACCCATCCCTATTGCGAGGAGGAATCTTTATGACAGTAAGATTTGCCACAGACGTGTAGTGACAGCTGGAGGAGACCTGCTGGTGCAGGCTGCCGCTGCCCACCCAGTCCTAAGGAACACGTAGTCCCCTTTGTCTGAGGCTTGTATTTAGGTACTCAACTCCCCAGAAACAACAGGGTGATTTTGAACCTTGAACAAGGGTCTGGTGGTGGCTGGACTGATTTGGGATTTTCCACTACAGACTCCCCAAGAAGCTCACCTGTTCAACTCAGTGGATTCTGGGCCTTTTCTATTTGATCATCTCTCCAACCTTCTCTTAAAAAACCAACCTAATTGAAATGAATTTCTTTTTTAGCTAACTACCAAGTCATGTGTCATGCGCCCCACTCTGAAGCAGGGTCAGTTAAACCGTTTGTTACATGATACAGTTCCCAGTACGGTGCGTGCTCTTCCTGTCAGGTCAACCTCCAGGTTAGTCATAAACTCCAGGGGGCTTTTACTCTTTAATATTCAGGAAAGGTTATACTATGTACCTTACATTCTCTCCCCAAAAGTAGTCATCCAAAAAAAATGTGGCAGGTTTTTACTTTAGATTTTCATGTTATGTTAGGGAGGGTAAGAGGTTTTAACTGGTGTGCCACCAATCATAAGCTTTTTCTTTTTAGGTTGCATCTGATGCCAGAAGGCAAACACAACCTCCACTTACGTTTTGCAGATGAATTCAACAAGTTGGCACAAGACTTCTTACAATGAATATGTGACCCGGTGATTCCTTAGCAAGGGCTTCATCTGCCTGTTGTGGCCTCTGGAACCCACCCCCACACCTCAGTTCACCTTCCCTCCAGACTTTCGGTTCCTCCCCACAACTGCTGCTAATCCAACAGGGAAAATGACACTAAAAACATCCTCCAGGAGCTACAAAAATTAAATGACTTTTTCAACATTAAGTTTGGATCTCTACCATTGTTTTAAAACAAATTCCTTATGGTGATTTATTTACAAGTAAATGTTAGAAGAGCACTGGTGCTCCTCGCTGCTATTTTGGGGCACCACAGACCCGAGCCGTGCCTTCTGAGAGGTGAAAGCACCCTCTTGTCTCTGTAGTTGTGTCATTGTGCAAAGTAAGAAAAGAAACAGAAGACAGTTCTTGCCTAAGGTCCTCAATTCTAGGTTTTCACAGGATTGCTCCAACTCCCACAAAGGGAAGAAGGCTGACTTTACCTCAGATCTATCCGCTTCCTTACCTTTGCTGGATTCCTTTACTTTCATACTTTGGGCCAGTGAAGATGAAAAAATATTTATCTCTTTATTAGTAGAATTATTAATTAAACATTAAGTATGTGATAACGGAACATGATTTGACTTTGGGTGGTGGACACAATGCAATATATAGCTTGTGTGTCATAGTAATGTACACTTGAAACCTGTGTGAAACCCATTAACCAATGTCACCCAAATTTAATTAAAAATTTTTTCAAAGTAGAAATCCTATTTTGTTATGATGAGTAAACCCATAATCATAGTCAAGAAGTATCTAATGAAAGAATAAAAAGAAAGAGACCACAAGATTTTTAGACACATGCTTTATAATTAGTATAGATATCTTAGAATTTCTGACAGGAGCAAAACTGAGCACCATAGTATACAAATAGAAAGACCATGCTTGATTGAGGACAACAGAAATTCACTAACAATGCACAATGTATTTAATAAGTTCTTAAGCCTCATCCTCTCCTTCCTCCTCCTCGAACTCCCCCTGTTCATCGGCCGTGGCGTCCTGGTACTGCTGGTACTCGGACACCAGGTCGTTCATGTTGCTCTCCGCCTCCGTGAACTCCATCTCATCCATGCCCTCGCCCGTGTACCAGTGCAGGAAGGCCTTGCGCCGGAACATGGCCGTGAACTGCTCCGAGATGCGCTTGAACAGCTCCTGGATGGCCGTGCTGTTGCCAATGAAGGTGGCTGACATCTTCAGGCCGCGCGGCGGGATGTCGCACACGGCCGTCTTCACGTTGTTGGGGATCCACTCCACGAAGTAGCTGCTGTTCTTGTTCTGCACGTTGAGCATCTGCTCGTCCACCTCCTTCATGGACATGCGGCCCCGGAAGATAGCGGCCACCGTCAGGTAGCGGCCGTGGCGGGGGTCGCAGGCGGCCATCATGTTCTTGGAGTCGAACATCTGCTGGGTGAGCTCAGGCACTGTCAGGGCCCGGTACTGCTGGCTGCCCCGGCTGGTCAGGGGGGCGAAGCCGGGCATGAAGAAGTGCAGGCGGGGGAAGGGCACCATGTTGACGGCCAGCTTGCGCAGGTCTGCATTCAGCTGGCCTGGGAAGCGCAGGCAGGTGGTGACCCCACTCATGGTGGCAGACACCAGGTGGTTGAGGTCTCCATATGTGGGGGTGGTCAGTTTCAGGGTGCGGAAGCAGATGTCGTACAGGGCCTCGTTGTCAATGGAATAGGTTTCATCTGTGTTTTCCACCAGCTGGTGGACAGAGAGGGTGGCATTGTAGGGCTCCACCACCGTGTCGGACACCTTAGGTGAGGGCATCACGCTGAAGGTGTTCATGATGCGGTCCGGATACTCCTCCCGGATCTTGCTGATGAGCAGGGTGCCCATCCCCGAGCCCGTGCCACCCCCCAGAGAGTGGGTCAGCTGGAAGCCCTGCAGACAGTCACAGCTTTCTGACTCCTTCCTCACCACGTCCAGGACCGAGTCGACCAGTTCCGCGCCCTCTGTGTAGTGGCCCTTGGCCCAGTTGTTCCCGGCCCCGCTCTGGCCTGCCAGAGGGAAAAGAGAATACTAGACACTAAAACATAAGGAATTTCAGGTTGTTACTATGAGGCTGCACTAGTCTTAGAGTAGCAAGTTCTTCCCTTTTAGATACCTTTTATTACCTGCAGAAAATTTTTATCAGTGACACTCAAAAACACTGGAGATCATAATAGAACAAGTTTAGATCAAGGAGGCTGTTAATGGAAACAATATTCTTAAGAACAGAACATTGTATTGGGTTGGCCAAAAAGTCCTGTTATGTTTTTTTCCATACAATGGCTCTAGAAGCACTTCATTGTCTTTAACTTTATTCAAAACAATTTTGTTATATTGTATGAAGACAGCTGTCACATCGGCATGCATTAAAAAATTACCAAATTGGTGAATTTTTGTGTAGCCATTTTAATACTGAAGATGGAAGATATGCAACATTTCGGCATATTATGCTTTATTATTTCAAGAAGGGTAAAAATGCAACAGAAAAGCACAAAAGGGTTTGTGCAGTGTATGGAGAAGGTGCTGTGACTGAACATGCCAAAAGTGGCTTGCAAAGTTTCTGGGTACTATTGACATTCTGGCCAAATAATTCTTTGCTGTGGGGCTGTCTTGTGCATTGGAAGAGGTTTAGCAGCAGCCCTGGCTTCTTACCCACTAGAATCCAATAGCAGAAAATAGCCAACGTACTCAAAATATCCAAATCAATAAAGGTATTGGTGAAAATGAAAAATGTGCCTTTTATTTTACAGATAAAAACTAAATGGACTTTCTGCCAACCCAATAAAAACGTTAAATTAGATCCCATTAACAGGCAAGGGCAAAGGAGCAATGAGATAAGACACCTGACTACTGGTCACAACCTGTGCCTTTGGCTTTTGCTGCTTGAAGGGGCCACCTGTTATTACAGGTGCTCTGAAATTACCAGTAGCCTATCAGACTCCTGTTTGAAGCTTTCTCATTGCCTTTATCTTTTTTTAAATTTTTAAAATTCATTTATCTTTAGAAGGGAAGGGAAGGGAGAGGGAAAGAAATATCAATGTATGATTGCTTCTCGTGTGGCCCCTGCTGGGAACTGGCCCCTGCTAGGGACTGGCCTGCAACCCAGGCATGTGCCCTGACTGGGAATCGAACCGTCATCTTTTGGTTCGCAGGCCCACACTCAATCCACTGAGCTACACCAGCCAGGGCTCTGGCCTTTATTCTTTACCCTTCACAGGCTGCTGTGTAGTGGGGGGCCTACAGCAGACCTCTGCAGCCTGACACTGTCCTTTGTTGAGCTGTCCAGAGAGTCACCACCCCTGGGCTAGGTGGAATTAGGCCATGACTCACAGCTACCCGTGGACACGTAGTGTCCACCTGGGCAGTCAACACTCAGAACTGTGATTTCCATGGTGTTTAGGAAGAGGAAGACTCATTGTGCCAGTTCCCATTGCTCACGACTACATACCAAACACGAAGTTGTCGGGCCTGAAGATCTGGCCGAATGGTCCAGACCTGACAGAGTCCATGGTGCCTGGCTCCAGATCCACCAGGATGGCCCGAGGTACATACTTGTTACCTGCAGGAAAGAAGATCTGGATTTAGACCTGTGGTTGACAAAGGAATCAGACAACAGAATGTTCTATGCACCTTTCAGAGCAGAATTCATTTGGGAAAATTCCCCCATGTGAGACAAAACTGCAAGAATAGGGGAGTGTTTCAGCTTTATAGAAGAGCCCTGGCTCTGGTGTGGCTCAGTATATTGAGCACTGGCCTGTGAACCAAAGGGTCACCAGTTGGATTCCCAGTCAGGGCACATGCCTTAGTTGCAGGCCAGGTCCCCAGTAGGGGGCGTGTGAGAGGCAACCACACACTGATGTTTCTCTCCCTCCCTTCCCCTCTAAGAATAAATAAAATCTTAAAAAAAAAAAAAAAGGTAATGATCATGCTTCACCATGGTAAACATGCAGGAGTCTTAAGGAACTACTAGCAGCTGACATTTAAAATGGATGCAGGCAGCATTTCTTTGTCATTTGTATGTTCCTAGCACATTGCATCTGTCCCCAGTATGGAAAGCGAGGTTGATATAGAAAAGCAAAAAACACTCAAATAATCACCAGCAGCTTCATTGTAGTACACGTTGATTCTCTCCAGCTGCAAGTCACTGTCTCCATGGTAACTGCCAGTGGGGTCGATCCCATGCTCATCACTGATCACCTCCCAAAACTGGAAATTTTAAGATACGTGTATCACATGATGGTCTGGCATCGTAAATATCAAGTAAAGGTGGCCCTTTTCTTCCTCTCAGGTCCTTGGAATAGGGGCCACTGTGATCAGATGGTTAAGGGTGCCCCAGAGAGACCAGGTAGCTGTGCACCCATGTTCCTCCAGCAGAGGCTGCTGAGAGGGGCTTGGGAACCAGTAGAACACCAGCCATAATATGGCGACAGCCTGAAGAGCTGGGAGGGGCACTGCAGGAGCAGGGTGGGCACCCTCCCGGCTGCCCCATCTTCTGGGGCAGCTGTGGATGCTGGGGAGGCTGCCACCCCCCAGGCAGGGCTTGGTGTCCCCATGTCCAGCATCACAGCATCTCACTATGCCAGCTGATGGATGGGTCCTGGCAGGACCCAGATCCAGCTGGATCCCACCCTGTGGCTGCCTTATAGGAATCAGTGTCTCCTGGCACAGATCCCACCCCGCTCTCCAAGCAGTGCAGTTTATGCCACTGACATGCATATTGGCCTCTGGCCATTGAGCTCAGGGGGCCTGGGTGGGGAAGGGCAGGAGGGAGCCTGGGAGCATGACTGGGGCAGTGAACAGAGCTGGCCTTGGAGAGGGCGCAGGCTCCATTGTGAATCTGCAGCAGGAAAGGGGGCGGGGAGGTTGGGGTGGGCAATATGGCGGTGCTGACAGAGACCTCGTCCTTTTTCAGACCTCACCCACAGCCATGCACCATGCCCAGTCGGGCCCGGCCCAGTGCTGTGGGTAATTGCAGCCCCAATACAGTCACCTGCCGCCTGGGAGACAGGAAGCCAGACTGGCATTACATATTATCATGTCTGGATGGTGCTGGTAATAGGGAAACTATCTAACATTCTGGTCTTTAAATCCCAATGAGTAGTCTCTATAACATGTCACCTCAATGACACTGCATTTTTTTTTTCATTCAAACTGAGAAAAACATGTCCAGATTAAGGT